CCTCACCCTTTAACAAGCTGGCATTCCTCAGTCTGGAAACCATCTTTACTTTCCAGACCGGTACTCTTCAGCTTCGAGTCTTGGGACTCAGGAACAGCTATACTGGTATTCTTCGGTTGCAAGCTTAGCCACCGGTACTCCCCGGGATGTCCCGGGGAGTACTGGTATTCCTCGGTCACAGTTCCGCAACCGGTACTCGTCAGGTTTTCGCTACTGGGCCTCTGGATCGCCACCGGTCGTAGATCGGTATCCATCAATCTCCGAGTTGTACTTCGGCATCGCCCTTTGCCACACACTTCCGCCGGGTCCCAGGTCTCCTCACCGACTCGGGTCGGCGCACTTCGTAATTTTCCTTCAACCACTCAAGCACCTCCGTCATGACCCAAAGCGTGCCATCGGTCCCGACTCCCTCCGCTCCTGGGACTCCAGCAGGGCGGAACGACACGCCTCCGCCATCTACTCCCCGAAGCCTCTTTCTGGGCTCGGTTCCCGACACTGCGAACGCCCAAATGGAAGAGGCCCGCGCATTGGTTGAGCTGGGCAACGGGTCTGGAGGCAAGTTTCTGCCTCTCTCAGAGACTGAGCGGCGCCTCCGTGAATCGCTCCTGCGAGCTCAGTACCCATTGGCTGCGGGGGTCTATTGCTCGGCTGTGGAAATCGTCTCTCGACAATACGCTGGGTCCGAAGTGGATGAGAGCTTGGGATTCCATCCATCAAGAATTTTGCTCCCCACGGGTGACACCGCTGAAGCGGACCTGGCGACTACCCTGGAACAAGTGACTCTTGCTCCCTCTATCGTCTACATCCCAGCATCGGCGGAGGACGTGCGGATCGTTGCGTCTGGAAACCCCGAGGGCTTGCAGATGCGTGACATCGGGGGGGGGGTTGGTTCACGTGGGGCTGCTCAGCTTGATGCGCTCCCACGGTTGGCTGTTGGGGACGACCGCACCGCCACGGACATCCTCGCCCCGATGCACCTCCAAGGTGCCCCCCGCGGCAGTGATTCCCGGCCAGCGCCCGAGGGCGGCGGAGCTCCAAGCTGGTCGACGTGTTTGGGGTTTCAGATTTCGGTCGTCGGGTTTTGAACTCCTTGAACGTGCTCTGCCTCGCGCTGGACCAGCTTGTGACGCTGGAACCCATCCAGAATCTCGCTGCCGCTGCGAATCCAGGGAGTGCCATGGCCAACGCTCTACTGAGGACGGCTTTACACCGTGCTCAGGAGCAACAGGCTGAGAGTCATCGGGAATGGGAGGTCGCGTTGCGTGAAGTGGAGGCGCTCATGACCGCGGCTCTTCGGGCTGTCGTGGCTCGGGCCCGGATTGGCCCAAGTCATGAGCACCAGGGTTGGGTTCAGGCCGAGAGCGTCTCGAGAGAATGGAGATGGCCTACTCCGACTCGGAGCGTTCCCTGACCGAGACCCGAGAGGAGATGATGAAACCCCAAGGTTCTCTCGACTCGGTGTCATCGGAGTGTCAAGAAGCTCGGGGTGAGCGGGACGAGGGTCTGGAGGAGCTGGCCGAAGCTCAGGACGAGGTAGCAGGGGCTCGAGCGGAAATCGCTGCGCGACCTCCAGCTCCCCCAGCGACGCGGTTCCGAAGGCTGAGCACGACGCGGAAGTCTCTCGACTTCGGAGCTCGTTGTGTGCGTCTCAGATCGCTATGGACACCCTCCAACGAGAGAGGGACAGTTTCCGGTCCCTGTGCGACCACATGCTTTGGTAGACTACATCGTCTCGATGGGTTTGAACGGTGATGCTGCAGCTTTCCAAGAACATGTACAGGCTTACTTCCAGCGTCGCACTCCTCTCCCGTATTCGGTCTCTCTGTTCGTGGGAAGAAATAGTGCACCTATTTCCGTCCCCATGCCTGCGTCCGGGGAAGTCCGGGGTCTGCAAGTGGAGGTGGTTCTGGGGGTGACCAAGCTGGCTCTGGGACGCCGTCTTCGGTTCCCGCGCCTTCGGGCTCCTGGTCCGTCCCTTCGCTCCACTCCAGTGGTTCAGCTCTCAGCCTGACTCCTTCGTCGTCCAGGACTCCGGGGTCTGGGGACTCCGGTGTTTTGCTGTCTGGAGCAGCTGAGTCGAAAAAGACTCCCGTTCCTCCACCTCCGCCTCCTTCGGTGCCGGGACGGTCTTCCACGCCCCAGGCCAACCCGGCCAAGACCCCGAAGCACATTCGGTTCCATGATCTCCCTGACGACGAGAGCGATGTGCCCGAAAGCCTTCCCCAAGAGGCTACACAAGACGACTACGAGATGGGTAGCGGGAATGCTGAGGCTGACGACGACCTGGGAGAGGACCTCGGGAACGAGGGTGACGATACTGATGTGGACATTCTCTCCGAAAGTGGTTACCAACGTCTCTTGCGCTTGTCGCCCGATGGCCAGCGCCAGGTCCGACCTAGAGTGTACACCCTCAGACCGACACCAAGGGACTCTTCTACCGGGCCATGGACGACGACGCCGAACCTCCGCGTTCGCATGAAGACCTAAGCAAACTGCTCCCAGCCGATACCGAGCTCTCGGACGTACGTCTCGACGTACTCGAACTCTGACGCATGGATTCAGACAAGTGTACTCTGACTGAGGCAGAAAACGTGATCCTGGGGGAGACCGCGGAGGACATTGTGGTTCACGTGAGCCTTCGGCGCGATGTCCTCTGCGAAATCATCCGGCGTCTCCTATGTCTTCGGAGCCTGGACGAGGTCGACTGGTTTAGGCATGTCCCCGAAGAGTACTTCGAGCGGGCCTACAAACGCGCTGAGGACTCTAATTGGGTGATCAGTGTGGAGCACCCCTGGTCACCCATCCCTACCGAGCCACGCGAGCCTTCGGAGTCGTCGGATAACGATGCCTCCGACATGGAAGGGGAAGCTCGGCCAACGTCGAAGGCCAGAAGCTCGGCCAACGATCTTCGGGGGGGGGGTCCAGCTCCTACTATTCCTCCACGCGGCAAACGACCTCGTTGTACTGGGGGCCAAGGTCGAGGAGGTTCGGGGGGCAGTTCTCCAAATGGTCCACCTCCCGGAGGTGCCTTCAGACGTCTCCTCGAACGAGTCCTACCTCACAGTACGTCATCGTAGACTCGTTCCGCCTCCGAACGCCACCCCCGACTTCAGACACTCAGACACCGCAGATGCTATCTCGTCGTTTGTGAATGGCGTTCAAACACCAGATTCGAGGTTTCCCGGACTATGACGTGGTGCCTACTTCCGCGGCGGAGGTGAAGAATCGTCAGGTGATCTCCGACTACCTCGACCTCGTGGATGGTACCGCTCCAGGAGAAGACGCCTCCTGGGACACCGTTTTCCGAAATCGCCACGTGGTATTCTGGTTTGCCTGTCGGGAGGTCACTGAGGAGCATCCTGCAGGTTCAGCGACGTCTTCCTGGTCGTTGCTTCGGAGCACGTGTTGGTGATGTTCAATTTCCGTCGTGCGCAGTGGGAACGCGATCACCGAGTGGTGTTGGACCGCACTGAAGAAGCTCAGAAGAAGGTGTACTCGGAGAGGGCTACGCGGCAGAGGAGTTGGTACAAGGCGTTGCTGAAGCTTCGCGCCAAGGTGGCCCTACTCCCGGCGAGGGAGCGCAAGTGGTTTTGCTGCGAACTAGGACTCTGGCATCGACCGTGGTTGCCAGTCACATGGATCCCTTTGCCGCGCGGGGATAATACTCCTTCGCTCCGTGACCAGCTCCAGGCTCTGGACCGTCGTGAGCCTGCCCGCGTTCATTGGAGTCTCCCCGGCACGCGTCGCGCTTGTCGGAGAGCGTGTCCCTAAGTACTTGGAGAACCAGGGTTACCGACCCCAATGATCGCATCTTCTTCCCCATCCCTGATGGGCTGCCGGTCGAGTTTGTCAACTAGGTATCCATTCTCCACTCGCGGAGTTTGAGTCGTTCTAATAGACTTCGTGCGTTCACTCCATCTTGGCCTTGTTCGTTTTTGCTTTGTTGTCTTCGAGTTCCCAAGTCTTCCTTTTAATAACATGCAGGTATTATGCACTTATGTAATCACTTGTGCCGCGGAGAGTGTTATCATCAGGGGGTACAAGTCCTCTAGGGGACACTCCGGGGCCTACTACTGTAGCGGGCTCCGGGTCCACACCCCAGGAAATATGCACTTCGCTCATGTTCTGGAGAGTATTCTCATCCGGGGGAATGAGGTTTCTGGGGGACACGCCGGAGTCTACTAGTGTAGTAGGTTCGGGTCCACACCCCAGGAAATATGCACTTCGCTCATGTTCTGGAGAGTATTCTCATCCGGGGGAATGAGGTTTCTGGGGGACACGCCGGAGTCTACTAGTGTAGTAGGTTCGGGTCCACGCCCCAGGGCTATACCGGACTTCTTCGTCTGGGAGCTCGTCTCCAGACTGCATGGCCTGGAAACGCACGCGGGCTCGCTCGACTTGGTCAAACTCGTAGAGCAGCCTCCCGCAATTGAGGCGTCCTTGGGGAATCCGATCTGGAGCCTAGTAGCCTTTCCATGTTACTAGGTATTCTTTGACGCACCGGCTGGTGCGGGTCCGGATGACCCAGCGCACGTCGAGTATTGCTTCGATCTCGTATTCCCCGGAACCGCCATCAGGTTCCCAACTATCTTCACGGAGTAACGCAGCGTCGAAATCGTCGTCTTCGGGGATGTCTATGGTTCCCGAAGGCCGCTCCGGGTATTTGGCTCGGGGCTTCAACCTGCTAACATGGGCCCAGGGGTGAAACCGGTTTTCCGTACCCTCAACCTGGAGGCGGTATCGGAAATCGCTACCTTTTTCCCGGATCCGGAACGGGCCGTGTCAGAGATGTGCGAGTTTCCTGGTGAGTCCGGGACGGACTCGGACTATGTACAGCCAAACCGAGTCCCCGACCTCGAAACCCTCCTCGAGTCGATCTGTGAGTGGTGAGTCCGGGACGGACTCGGACTATGTACAGCATGCACCGCGTTGTTGATGGCGAACTCGGCCATCGGCAAGTAATCGCTCAGTTGCTTCCACTTGCGGTTATGGTCCTCGGCTCAGCTCTTCTTGGCTTTTTCTTGGAGGTCCCGGGCCCAGGCTCTCGCGTATTCCATCTGGCGTTGCACCTTTGTGCGCCATTCCTGGGCGTCCATAAGCTGCACGTCTCGGGGAACGTCTCCCATCAGGGTCTCGACCGTACCTTGGACGTCCCAACCGTGCACCAAGTAAAACGGCGTGTCGAGTCGGGTGAAGTCGAAAGAGGTGTTCAGCGCCCACATGAGCTTTTCGGCTAGCTCGTCCCAGTCGCTTTGGTCCACAGTACGCCTTGACGCTTCGGATCACTGTTTGCACGGATCTCTCTTGTTGTCCATTGTCCTGGGGACGATAGGCTAGAGTGGCGCGTTGCCTGCTCCCGAGCATTTCCCGGAAGTGCTTGAACACCCGACCCATGAAGCGCGGGTCTCAGTCGTGACGGATCATCTCACTGGCTCCGAACCTCCGGAACACGGCTTCAGACACATCTTGGGCTTCGGTGTTCGCCATAGCCTTGCACCTGATGAATCCCGAAAATGCGCGTTGGAACAGGAGCAGCGCCGTATTTCCCCGGGCAGACCGAGGTAGAGGTAACACAAAGTCCATGGAGACGACCTGGAACGGTCGCGTAGCCAGCAGGTTATCGGGCGACGGGCCCGGTTTCCGGGGTAGTCCCTTAGCCGTGACATAGTCGATGCACTCTTTGACGTATCGTTCGGTGTCCTTGAACATGCCGATCCAATAGAATTCCTTGCACAATCTCTCGTAGGTCAGGATGATCCCCTGATGAGCACCTTGGAAGTCCGCGTGACAGTGATGCAGAATGTCCTCCTGGAGATCCCGGGGGACTACCATGCGGAGACGGTCTGCGGCGTCTCGGGGACATTCCGGGGTGTTCCGACTCACATAGAACAAGGCGTCCTGGGAGTCCAACACAAACCGGTCCGCTATCTTGGCCAAGTGCGTCGTTTGTCTCAGGGACAACTGCTCGGTCTCGCCCCGGACGAACTTTACCAATGGCGCTAGCCCCGGGTCGTGAAGCAAATCCTCCTCCATCGTTCTCTGCGGACGTCTTCAGGGTCTTCTTCAGAGTCCTGGCAGTCGGAGTTCCGGGGAGCGGCTGTCGGCTCGTCCTCCAGACCGTCGGTTCCCGACTCGTTGGTTCCGGGGTCATCGGTTCCGGGACCATCGGTTCCCGACTCGTTGATTCCGGAGGCATTGGACCTGGGGTCGACGGCTCCGGGGTTGTTGGTTCCAGATTCGTCGGCTTCGGTTCCCAGAACCAATTCCTCCGTGGCCTTGACCTGCTTGGACTTCGAGCGCATCACCGCGAACACGTCGCCTTCTAAGCCTCTTGGGAAGTGCTTGGATATATTTCGGGCCGTGGCTAAGAACGTGAACTCCACTAGCGATTGTTCCCGGGGGTTCGGGTCCTTCATCAGTTTTTCGTGGGTCCGGTTCAGGCCTTGGAGTAACTTGCGTTCCCCGGGGTCCGTGACCTCCAATGATGACTGGTCCTGGATGACTCGCTTGGAGATGTAGTCGGCAGCAGCGTTGAAATCTCTTTTCACGTGCACTAGGCGTAAGGACTTGAACTTAGCTTGGGGTCCTTCAGTCTCCTGGAGTAACCTCAACAGGTGGGGCTGGGTGCAGCCAATGACGCCTTGGAGCTGCTGTATTGCAAGTCAGGAGTTCCCGACAGCAACCAATTCCTGGACCCCCTTGTCCAGAGCGAGTTGCATGCCCTTGACTAATCCAGAGTATTCGGCTTCATTCACCGTAGCTTTCTCCAGAAAGTGTTCCGCGGTCGCGACGATTTCCCAACTCGGGAGGCTCCAAAGGATGCAAGAAGCGCCCCTCGACCCATGCTCCGTCGAAGCTCAACAGGTGCCCGATGTGATAACTAGAGAGCATTTCCAGACTGATTGGCGGTGTCTTGATCCGGGAACCAATTTCCGGAACCAGGGTCTCGGCAACCTCGTCGAGGCGTTCTCGGGGGGCCAGGATCGCCGCCAAGCCATCTTCGTCGTTCTCGACTCGCCGAATGTCAAGATCCCAGGGAGACAGATTGACCGGCCACTTGAGGCATCACCCGTCCACCGTCTTGGACTTGAATAGCCATGCCAGCACCAAGTACCGGTCAGATAATCTTGCCAAACTTACCCACAATACCGTGCTAACATACA